CGGACATGCTACACACAAGTTTGTGGACGGGACTCACAAAAGACGGACAGAAGGAAGTGGTGGACGGGCCAGAGAGCGGTAGCGAGAGGAAGGGTTGGGGGCGTGGGTTTAAAGACAGAACTTGCAAGACATAAAAGGACAGCACATCCGAAAATACATACTATCAGAATGGCCTCGGTAACTGACTTACATCGAATGCATCATTGCTGGTGACTGATGACAGAATGGTCGGGTTGCCCGCAATGTCCTTACGGACGTTCTCCATTCGGACCAGGGGGTCAGAAGGGTCCCGAAGGGCGCCCACGTCCGAGCTCGTTCCAGCGACTTCCGCTGAAAGCTGTCGCTGCATCGACTCCAACTGCGTTTTCAGACTATCGCGTTTAGCCTCCACCGCCTTGATCCTGGCCCTTGCCTCCTGCAGCTGCGCTGTTTAGAGTGGAGACCGTGTTCTGGCAGGTCACGCAATTGTGCCTCCAGCTGTTGTGCTTCCCTGAAATGGTGCGCACCAGCAACTACGGGACAAGCCCCGGGAATAACACGTTATCGAGAAAAGGCAGACAACAAGCAAGTGGAAAGGAACAATTAGACAGTTCATCCAGCCGACGTTATGAACAACGGAGCTCAGCTCATAGAAATAAAATGCATAACACATTGGCGACTGAGGAGGGGCGAGTGGGGGGCCGGGGGGGGGAAACGTAGGATGGAGTTAAGCAACATTCAAGAACTGGCACCGTAGCTATGAGCGTGTTGCGTTTGCTTGCCTTGCGACCGCTCACGCCTAACGGAGTGGCTGTCGGGTTATTAGGCTGCGAGGTGTGCGGCGCCAGCTCCGTCTGGCGAGCCTCCGCAGGAGCGCACATCTGCCGCTCGAACCGCTGCAGCGCGGTCCTCCACCGCGCGAGAACCTCCGCAGCCCGAATCTCCGCCGCTCGAATCTCCGCCGCCCCGAATCTCCGCCGCCCGAAGCTCCGCCGCCCGAAGCTCCGCCGCCCGAAGCTCCGCCGCCCGAACCTCCACCGCCCGAACCTTCGCCGCGCACACTTCCGCAGCGCGAACCTCCACTGCGCGCAACTCATCGTCGTTTCCCGCTTGGACGCCGTCAACATCATCTGCAATCGTCGTAGTTCCCGTCTTCGTCGTCGCTACCAGCTTCGATGCCGTACGCGATGAAGGATCCACGCCGCCCTCCTCTGCGGCCTCAATCACTACTGCCATCATCGGACCCGGGGCTCCGGCGGCAGGCACGGGGGGTGCAGGGAGAGCTCCAATATCTGCGTCTGACGCGATACCGCAGGACTATGCCGCGTGTGGTTGGTGCGCCGTTTTGCGTGGTGTCCATTGCTTCTGCCACCAATGCAGGGTTCGCGCCTTCTGCTTCTGACGAAGTGCCGGCGGTAGGGTTGTCAGCGGATGGCGAGCCTACAGGAATGTTGCCATTCGCACTAGAGGATCGACCACTCGCACCAGAGCCGGCGGCAGCACGTTTCCTCTTAGACCCGCCCCGACGGCCTGCAGCTGCCGTCTTACCAACCGTGGGAGCGCCGTGGAGAGTGTTGACTGCAGCTGTTTTTAAAGCAGCCTCTTTAGCTAACTGCCGCCTCTTATTCTCTTCTGTAAGAATGTCATCTCCCAGCTGTGACAGTGCAGAGGCATCGAGTAGATTGAGAGCAGAATGAGAATGGGGCAAGGTGACCCCTGCTGGATCTAGCAAAACTCTTTTCCCGGTGCCTGCCCGCACTAACTGTCCCCCATTCTGAGCCATAGGTTTGAGGATAGTGATGGTGATGACCAGTTAAACTTACCAAATGGGGAAAATGCCACGACGCAACCAGCCATGAGCTTTTTTTTTCGCACGGCTTATTATCTGAATTTTTAGCGACACAGTGAATGTTTGCGACTTCTCAATCCCATATGTCAATTGTTTCCATGCCTTTTTTCGGAAAATGTTACTGTGAACTTTGATTCGGCGAACGAGGAAGCAAGGTAACATGCATATATGTGGATTACGTGCCTAAACTAAAAACACACCATAAACTATGCTATGAAACTATGATCTTTCAAACTGTAGTGATCTAGCGTGGTGTGAACGAAAAAATGTGTTGAAATCACAGTTGCGCGTCAAACACGAACTTGTTTGATATTTACTCGAAAGCAAATGGAACAACCACGGTCGCGGTCAAGCGGTTAGTTTACAACTAAAAATTTCCATCTCGTACAAGCACCACTTCGAAAGGTGCAGGTGAGACAAACGTCGCCACTGCGCAGACCTCGACTCCAACAGAGCTGATGTCACGCTTGTGCGGCGCGCAGTGTGGCACGTAGCTGGAGAAAATGCCTGAATGTGTCTCGTTTTCGACTATCGTGCTGCCAACACGACTGTTATTGCCGCATAATGAACCAATCGGAAGCTGCCACCATCTGTGTTGGCAACTGGAAGATTTCGACCGACTAGTGCGACACCGCCATCCACATTCAGGTGCACCCCACAGTGCGCAACACGAGCAGTTATCCTTGTCTGACGGTGTTGCGTATGGCAGCTGCCATTGCATCGATGATGACTTAATAACGATGAAGCGGGACAAAGTATGCTGTTTGGTACTGATTGCAAACGAATTGGGAACGTAATATAAAATACAGATTGAAGTATTTGACTCTTAAAAGGCTAAGGCAACCTAGATGGCTTTCTTTGCCTGCCAGGCCACTTAAATATACTACCGAGTATGAAGTTTTCACCACGCAAACCTATTAACGAACCACTTTTCAGCGTCTTTGTCCGGTCGCACTAACTGTACCACGCGCTTGATGCTATCAATACTGATTACTCGGTACCTCTGATTAACTCCCTCCCAGTGCAAAACCTTGCACTTGGTGGCTGCATCAACGCTGGCCTGTTCCTGTAGTACTTCACGAATGCATAGTTTTTTAACCGTGCCCGCAACCTTGGCATGAAACAACAGAAGGGTTTTCGCAAACCACTCCTCGTCCCCGTCTGAGCCCTCACCTTTGACCGCCACATCAGAAAACCATTGACGACCGTGGTGCATGGGCAGGGCGCGGATGTGGTGCGGCAGGCGACTATACTGCGCATCAACCGCAGCTGGCATGGCGAGTTCCCAGTGGACCTGCAAAGGTACCGTCAACAAGAAGAGTCATATTGTTTGGGTACGGTTACAAAAGCTACGACGGGGCAGGACTGGACGTCGTACATACATGTACTTCCTTGATAGCTTCCCCATTGCCGTCACAGCCAGGTGCCCTATCCAATGCCGCACGCGTGTTTCAACTCCTCGCCGATGATGGCCTGCAACGGGCCATCACGCTTCGCGTCCGGTACGTGAGGGTATGGGGCTCCAACACGTGTTTCTGGCACGTACAATGCCCAACTCCTCTTGGATAGAACCCGCTCGCCTGTCCGTTGGGCCTGCAGGCATGGAACACCACCATCATCTCGTTACGTGTATTCCATGCTCGATGGAAATAATCAAGAACCATACACATAAGTCTAGTTCTTACCTTCACCATGGCGGTGTCATACTTCTTCTTCGCCATGAGTTGTGGCGCGATATACTGAAGACGAAGCCGTGCCTCTTTGCTGCCGACGATTTGGCTATTGACTGACCGTTTATTCGATGCCCGGTAAGGGTTTTTTATGTACTCTATATGCAGATGCTCGTATAGTTGTGCAGAATAATGCTCGGGCAAGCCCGACCTACGAATGGAGTCTATGTAGTGACTGATGAGGTGCATCTTAATGAAGTTCCAATCCGACGTGTGCGGGAATGCGGTCTTGAGGTTGTGTAACATCCTGCGTATAGGCCAAAACATGTCGATCAATATTTAGCAAGCAGTCGGAGAATGAACGCAACACACTGTGAACTATACTACTCACCGGTTGTGCCTTTGTCTTGAACTCAAGGAGGGAGGTGTCAGTGTGTTCCGATGCCCGCGCGCACTCGAGGTACCACTCGATGTATGAGACGAGTGCGTCCATCTTCGGCTGCGTAATAAAAACCTTCACGATGAAGGGCAGAGTCTACATGACCGACCGGTGTTCGTATGCCTGATAGTTCGCCCCCTTTTCGAAGTACTGACCCGCGGGTAAACGCATGTTCCCCCCTCTAATACTTCTCTTGTAGTACCTAAGGATCCTGTCCAGCTTCTTTCTATCTGCCATTAACTTCACATGCGCGCGAATAAAGTCGACAATGTGCTCGTAAATGCCCAAACCTTCTTGGTGCATCACATCGGGCAGCACCGCAAGGTACGGGTTGAGAATGGTATCGGACTCCCACCTCCAGCCACCTAGGAAACTCTGCAAAAAAACAGAACCAGCACCTAGAGGTTAGTTCTGCACATGGTATAGCCCATAGAATGACCCTAAAACAGCACCCACAGCATACTATACCTGCACAGGGTGGGTGGAGAAGGTTGCCTCTGCATCTAGTGCAAGCCAGCCTTCTAAGATGTCTCGCACAATGGTATCCTGCTCGAATGGTGTACGAGCTTGGATACGATCCTGCAGCACTGCCAAGTGCTTCTTGTCCACCTTGCAAATCGAACACGGAAACAAAGTACCCAAGGATTTCGTGCACGTGATCTTGCACGACTCTGGGTAGTCCGACACATAAGCGTACAAATAGGGCCACACGTTGATTGACTCGCCTACAGCATTCTTCATAGCCATGCCGGTGTAGGATGCCGTCTTAAGAGATTGCAGCACCTCTCGCATGATGTAATTGTGGACTTGCATCTTGTCCACTACGTTGTACTCTGCAAGAAACTCAGGGAGCAGTGCTAGTAGCACGTGCCCAGAGGGTTGCCACCTGTCGTCCTTATCAATGTTACCCAACGTGAGATACACAGGATGACCCTTCGCCTTCCCTCTATGATCCATATGCGTCTCGTCACTCGCAAGGATCAAAGCAGCCACAACTCCATCCGGATCCTCCTCCCGCACCAAAGTTTGCAACCTCTCCCACCATAGGCCTGTCTCGGGGTTACTGTACACCCTCACGTTCCCCACATATTGAGGATCTGCATGGAACACCATCTTGGCAGCCAGCTTGGGGTTCTTCAACAGGTCCTGTAGAGCAATCAACGGATCACAATACCAATACTCCAGCCAAGCCTTGTTACGTGACCGGATGGTCTTTCGTCGCCAACCTCAGTGGCCATTCGTCGCCCTAGACTTAGCGTACGCCTGCACGTCTTGGTAGGACTTCCAATCTTGTATTTCAAGAATGGTCTTACGCAGGATTTCCAACAGAGCGTTAATCTGACTGATAGAGAGTCGGTTGGAGAGGATCCTGCGCGCAAGAGCATCCTTGAGGTTAAACTGAGGGGCATCTTCCTCTTCCGCCAGTGCAACACCTGCTTGAGCTCCCTCCCCACCATCATCATCAGCACCAGATACAGCAGCGTTACTAGACGCATCGTCATCTTGTTCAAACGGCTGCACGCTATCTACTGAATCAGAGGATGAGGAAGTATCACTAGTGTCTGTTGGATCAGCACGAGAAATAGGAGGTACATCAATACACACATATTCCGCAACACCCGTTCCTACATTTGCATGCACAGGCTCCAACCTAAGTACTGCACGCGGAATGGGGTTAGGAGGGATGAAGCTCGACCTTGCGCGCTTGGGGGCCTGCAGCTGCTCGCTACTGCTAATGAGGTTTGCAGGGCAGGAGTTGCTCTGCATGTGGCGTCCCAAACCTGATCGAGTGTCGAATGCACAGAGACGACATCTTGGGCAGAGAAATGACATCTGCCAGAATTTTGGGAGTAGGGGAGAAGGGGGAAACGGGAGAAGACAAGACTTGAAGGGCGGGGGAAGGGGGAGGCCAGGGAAGAAAGGCATACGAGGACAGGAGAAGGGAGAAACAAGAGGAGACAAGCTTAGGAGGGCAGGGGAAGGGGAAATTAGAGAAGACAAGCGACTTGAAGGGCGGGGGCAGGGGGAAACCAGATAATACATGCATATGAGGGGAGGGGAAGGGGGAAACCAGAGAATACATGCATTTGAGGGGAGGGGAAAGGGGAAACCAGAGAATACATGCATATGAGGGGAGGGGAAAGGGGAAACCAGAGAATACATGCATATGAGGGGAGGGGAAAGGGGAAACCAGAGAATACATGCATATGAGGGGAGGGGAAGGGGGAAACCAGAGAATACATGCATAGGTGGGGAGGGGAAAGGGGAAACCAGAGAATACATGCATAGGTGGGGAGGGAAAAGGGGAAACCAGAGAATACATGCATAGGTGGGGAGGGGAAGGGGGAAACCAGAGAATACATGCATAGGTGGGGAGGGGAAAGGGGAAACCAGAGAATACAAGCATATGAGGCCAGTGGAAGGCCGAAACCTGAGAAGACAAGCATATGAGATGATGGGGAAGGGGAAAACCAGCGAAGACAATCACAGGATGAACGGGAAACTAGAGAATACAAGCATAGGATGAAAGGGGTAGGAGGTAACGGAGCATAGCGAGGACGAGCGTACGGGAGAGAGAAGGTGCACTGGAGGAGAGAAACAGAGAGGAGTGATGGAGACAGAGAACTAGAGAAGATCAACAGGTGGGGATGCGTGTGTAGGCGCACATGATAAGAGAAACAAACGGGAACAAGAGAAAGAGTGCACACTAGAAGAGAAACAGAGGGAAGAGAGAGAGGGCGCACTGGAGAAGAGACTCAGAGGGGAGCGAGCAAGAAGGCGCAAAGGGGGTAGAGGAGCAGAGGGGAAAAAGACAAATTGCGCATGGGCGGATAGGCGCAGAGGGGAAAGAGGGAGCATGCGCACGGGAGGAGCGGAGCAGAGGGGAATGGGACAAACTCGCATGAGAGGAAACTCAGGACATGTCACGAGGAATGGGGGCGAGGCGCGGAATGGAGGGTGGGACAAGTGAGAGCAAGGAATGCGGCGCAGAATAGAGGGTTACGAGAGAGATCGCGCACGTGAGGAGTGAACCAGAGGGGGACGATGAGAACGCGCACGTGAGAAGAGGAGTAGAGGGGAATGCGAGTGAAGGCGCAAGGAATGAGAGAATGGGAGGGGAAGGAGAGTGAAGGCGCACGGAATGAGAGGTTGAGAGGGGAATGAGAGGGAAGGCACACCCTAAGAGAGAATGAGAGGGGAAGGAGAGTGAAGGCGCACGGAATGAGAGAATGAGAGGGGAATGAGAGGGATGACGCACGGAATGAGAGAATGAGAGGGGAATGAGAGGGATGGCGCACGGAATGAGAGAATGAGAGGGGAATGAGAGTGAAGGCGCACGGAAAGAGAGACTGAGAGGGATGGCGCACGGAATGAGAGACTGAGAGGGGAATGAGAGCGAAGGCACACGGAAAGAGAGAATGAGAGGGGAAGGAGAGTGAAGGCGCACGGAATGAGAGAATGAGAGGGGAATGAGAGGGGAATGAGAGGGAAGGCGCACGGAATGAGAGAATGAGAGGGGAATGAGAGTGAAGGCGCACGGAATGAGAGAATGAGAGGGGAATGAGAGTGAAGGCGCACGGAATGAGAGAATGAGAGGGGAATGAGAGTGAAGGTGCACGGAATGAGAGAATGAGAGGGGAATGAGAGTGAAGGCGCACGGAATGAGAGAATGAGAGGGGAATGAGAGTGAAGGCGCACGGAATGAGAGTTTGAGGGGGGAATGAGAGGGGAATGAGAAGGATGGCGCACGGAATGAGAGAATGAGAGGGGAATGAGAGGGAGGGCTCACGGAAAAAGAGGAGAAGGCGCAAAGGAGGAGAGGAGCAGCGGTGTATGTGATAGTATATGCACAGGAGGAGATGATGGGGACAAAATGCGAATGGCGCGGAGGGGAAAGAGAGTGCACACACAATGGAAGAGAGGAGCAGCGGGGCATGAGAGGGTACGCTCAATGGAGGAGAGGCGCAGAGAAGGAGAGTGTACGCTTGCGGAAGGGAGGATCTGACTAGTGAGAGCAAAGAACGAGGCGCGGTATGGAGTATCGGACGAGAGTTGGAATGGGAACGAGGCACGAACAAGGAATGGACAAGAGGGGGAGACGAGCGAGGCGCGGATGCAAGCAACGGACGAGATCACGGAATGCACGAGGCACGGATGCGTGGAAGAGACAATAGGCAGATTGGGACGACCAGGACAAATGACACCGTCCGTGATAGGGAATACGAGGGAACGAACAAGGCGCGCAAGGGAGGAACGAACGAGATAGGGAACGAACGAGATAGGGAACGAACGAGGCGCGAAAATAAGGATCGGTCGAGATAGGGAACAGAAACAGGCGCGCAATAGAGTAGGGAGCTAAATGGGGCGAGGCGCGCCAATCACGAAGCCCGGGAGGGACAATGCAAAATCCGCGGATATGGGGGAAACAGATGGCAGTGAATCGACGAAAAGCGAACGGGAGGAATGGACGGTAGGGGGAATGGGGCATACGAGGAATGGAACAGAGGGAGGGACGACAACGATCACGGGAGAAGCAGACGGGAGAAATAATGCAAAGCGGCGGGCATGGGAGAAAAGGACGGGGTGGGCGGGACGAAGCGCGCACGGGAGGGTGAATAGGACGAGTCCGCCACGGATGAATCGTCTAGAAGGAAGAGACGGCAGCGCGCACCGGAAGCGGACGGGACACTGAATGCGACGTGGCGGGTAAGGGAGGAACGGACGAGAGGAAAAGAACGCGGCGTGCACGGAATGAGCCTCAGGAAGGGAGAATTGCGACGATCGCGTCGTGTTTGGAGTGAAGGGGCACGGGAGTATTGGAGCGTTGCGAAGGGAGAGTCTGGAGACACACCTGTGATTCTCAACAGTTGGTCTAACATCCCGCATAGAAACGCAACAAGGTTCCACACGAAACCGCTCCTGGCCCGTGGCGAGTAGTTAGTTTGTTGCCTGTACGGCGGATGGCCAAGTCTGCTGAGATACACGCGAGGGAATTTATAGCGGCGGAGGTGATCACCCAGACTAAATAAGACAGTAACAGGGTTTAACTAGCACAAGGGTCTGACTACTTAGTCTCTATTGTGCTCACGAATGTCGAGAGAATTTTGCTAGGGAGATTCGAGTCTCTGCTCCAGCTCGAAATCCTGTTTGATGTATGTACTTCATTCTGGTATAATGCGATGCTGTGCATAATATAGCGCAATTAATATGTTTTCTATGCAGTTAAATACGGTTTTGCAACCCTGAACGTGAAAGTGGAGCTGTACTGACACCACCCAATCAGAAACGTCTGGGTGCACGGTTGCCAGTGGGTACAAGTACAACCAATGGTCACGTGTGAGAAGACCGACGCTTTCAAAATTGGCGCGAATCTGACCATCCTGACAGCTGCACCCTCAACTCTTGCTCGAATGCCACGATTTGAGGAACTCCCTAAAGCACGAGCTGGCAGTTTATAAGCATCGACACTGCCAATATTAAAACCACACTAACCAATTAAACATGTGAGTGGAATAATACCAACCAGTAAAACAAAATACAATATACTACCCAACAATTAAACGAAGATAAATACAATATACTGCCCAGTAATACGATGTAACATAATAATTAAAAAAGATACCACAGGAAAAAATTGGAATTACCGATTACAAAAACAACATAACACCCAGAATTTGAATTCACGATACAATAACATAACAATGAACCTAATTCATCTGTTAAGTACAATCACTATTTTTTCTACAACTATCCGACAACTCGCAACTCTATCGCGACGCACGGCTTTAGAATAACACACCTGTCAGAACATTATAGCTTACTTATTTGTGTAGGCTATAGTGGCGTATCCCATAGGGGGTACAACCCAATTAGGGTTTCCTATTTGTACTCACCTCGTTCATAGTTCATTCATTCTCTCGTTCACTTCTTCTCATGGTATCAGAGCAGGTTCCCCTGTGGGAACTTTGCTTAGGGCCCACCACTTCGATTTTTTTTTTTCCTGCCCTAGCGCCCTAGCGCCCTAGCGCCCACCCTAGCGCCTGCCCTAGCGCCCTAGCGCCCGCCCTAGCGCCCGCCCTAGCGCCAGCCCTAGCGCCCTAGCGCCCGGCGCCCGCCCTAGCACCCGTGAGCCGCCCGCGGCCTGCCAGTGAGCCGCCGCCCGTGAGCCGCCGCCCGTGAGCTACCGCCCGTGAGCACCGCCCGTGAGCGCCGCCCGTTAGCCACCGCCCGTGAGCGCCGCCCGTCAGCCGCCGCCCGTAAGCAGCCGCCCGTCAGACGCCGCCCGTGCGCCGCCGCCGTCTGCGAAGCCGCCGCCCGTGAGCCGCCGCCCGTGAGCCGCCCACCCGCGCGCCGCCTGACCGTGAGCCGGCGCCGCCCGTAAGCCGCCCGCCCGTGCGCCACGAGCCCGCCCGTGAGCCGCTGGCGTCGCCCGTGCACCGACCGTCCGCGAGCCACCCGCCCGTCCGTGAGCCGCCCGCGCCGCCCGTGCACAGCCCGCGAGCCGCCCGTGAGCAGCCCGCGAGCCGCCCCAGCCGCCCGTGCAGCCGCCCGTGAGTCGCCCCAGCCGCCCGTGAGCCGCCCGCGCGCTGCCCGTGAGCCGCCCCAGCCTCCCGTGCAGTCACCCGTGCGCCGCCCGCGAGAAGCCCGAGCCGCCCGAGCAGCCCGAGCCGCCCGAACCGCCCGAGCAGCCCGAGCCGCCCGAGCTGCCCGAGCCGCCCGAGCTCCTGCTCCTGTGGGGCTGCTGCTGCTCCTGGACCGGCGCAGCCGCTGCACTGCCGTGTTACTGTACTACTGAGCTACCCAACTCTTCCTGCCCGGTGAGACTGTCAGCTGCTATAATGGCCACCCCCAGTGTCCTGACTTTTGATGCTGAGGGTCGCGCCATTGACTTTGCAGTCTGGGTCGAGGACCTGCAGCTGTACTTACTGTGCGATGCGATAGATGAGGTTTCTCTCTTTGACTTTGTCTCTGGCGCTGTCCCTGCCCCTCCTGCTGATGCTGACCCCACTGTTCGCTCCAAGTGGGCCACACGCGATGCTGCTGCACGTCTTGCTGTGCGTCGACACCTCCCTTCATCCGAGCGTGCGCACTTTAGTCAGTGCAAGACCGCTCAGGCCTTGAACGACGCTGAAGTTGCGCGCTACTCCTCCCCTTCCTCCGCTACGCTGAGCCGCCTCATGCTACCGTACCTCTTCCCTGACCTCGCTGCCTTTCCCACAGTCGCTGACCTCTTTACCCGCCTCCACGCTAGTGACACTCGCTACCGCGCTGCGCTTCCTGCTGACTTCCGCGCCGCAAACCCTCCTCCCATGTACATCACTCTCTACTTTCTAGTCACCCGTCTCCCTGAGTCCCTTCGTGCCGTTAGGGACCAGTTTCTCTCTGTCTGTCCCACCACCCTCACTGTCGACCTCCTTGAGAAGTCCCTGCTAGCGGCTGAGAAGAGTTTAGTCGCTGTAGGGGCCTCTCGTGGTGACACTCGCACCCCCATCTTTGAGGGGTGTTCTCCCTCCCCCCTACTGCCCTCTGTCGCCTCTGCTACTACGGCCGACCTCGCTGGTTTGGAGTCGGTCGGTGCTGCGTCTGCCCCCAGCGGTAGGCGCCGCTCTGGCAGGGGCAAGGGGGGCAAGGGAGCGGGTGGAGCTAGCGGGGGCGGTGGCGGAGGAGGTGGGGGCGGCGGGGGGAGTGGGGGTGGCGGTGGAGGTGGTGGCGGGAGTGGAGGTACTAGTGGCGGCAGTGGAGTCAGTGGTAGTGGCGGAGGTGGCGGTGGGAGCGGCGGGGGCGAGGGTGGCGGTGGCGGCGGTGGCGGGGGTGGCGGTGGTGGAGGTGGCCGGAGTGGCACGTCGCAGAGAAGCAGCACTGCGGGTGGTCAGCGCCAGCAGCAGCAGCAGCTGCGCTCTCGCGACATCCCCGCCCCTCATCAGCTCCGTGAGTGGTACTCGCAGCGTCAGCGTGGTGGGGCGTTCGGCCCCTGCACCTACGTCCTTCGCACCGGCGACCGCGCGGGTGAGCAGTGTGGGGGCACCCACACCGCCCGCCGCTGCTTTGCCCGCTTGACCGACGCTTGGCGCCAGCAGTTTCCGGAGGCCTCTGAGATCCCCCGCTGGGGAGAGCTGTCTAGGGCTGGTGTAGCTATCTTTGATCTTGACTATGATGCTATCCTTGCTGCCATGTATGCTGTGACTGTTAGTGATGAGGGTGACTGTTACCGGTGTTTCCCGCCCGACCCGGGTATTGGTACTGCTGCGTCAGGTGCCAGTGAGGCTGCTGCTCTAGGTGCCAGTGCGTCTGTGCTCTCAGGTACTAGTGAGTCTGCACTCTTAGGTACTGTGTCGGCTTCGGCCTCCCACACCTTCACCCTTGACTCTGGGGCGTCTCGCTCCTTCTTTCGGGACCGCACCACTCTCACGCCGCTTAGTCGGCCGGTTGTGGTGTCCCTGGCTGACCCCTCTGGGGGTCCTGTCCTGTCTCGTTTCTCCACAGTCCTCCCGTGTCCGGCGGCTCCCTCTGGCACCCTGACTGGTCTCTACCTCCCCTCGTTCTCTACAAACCTGGTGAGTGGTGCTGACGTACAGGATACGGGTGTCCACCAGTTCACTCCTGCTCGTCAGCGGGTGACACACTGCACAGAGGCTAGCACAGGTCGCCACCTGGCTACGTTTACACGTCAGCCAGGGTCGAGCCTGTACACACTGACCACTGCTTCTCCTCTAGGTGCTGAGTCTGGTAGGGTCTCTTCGTCTTGTCAGGTGTTTGCTGCAGCATCCAGGTCTGGTCCTGAGTCTGCCCCCTGTTCATGTCGCCGTCTGTCTCACGAGACCCTCCTCTGGCACCACCACCTTGGCCACCCCTCTCTGCTTCGGCTCAGAGGCATGGCCTCCCGTCTTCTTGTGTCTGGTCTCCCCCGGTCCCTCCCTCCCCTTCCTCACGGCCGTGGCCCTGCCTGTGTCCCCTGTGTCGAGGGGCGCCAGCGTGCTGCCCCTCACTCCTCCCAGTTTCCTCCGACAGAGGCTCCGTTGCAGACGCTTCACATGGACGTGTGGGGCCCTGCCCGCGTCCGTGGACTCGGTCACGAGCGCTAATTCCTGTTGGTGGTTGACGACTACTCGCGTTTCACCACAGTCTTCCCCTTGCGCAGCAAGGGTGATGTCACCGAGGTGCTGATCGACTGGATCCGCGCAGCTCGTCTCCAGCTCAGGCAGAGCTTTGGCTCGGACTTTCCTGTGTTGCGTCTGCACTCGGACAGAGGCGGAGAGTTCTCCTCTGGCCTTCTGCGTGCATGCTGTCGTGCGCGAGGCATCCGCCAGACCTTCACGCTTCCGGACTCACCACAGCAAAATGGGATTGCTGAGCGCCGCATTGGCATGGTCATGGACGTAGCTCGTACGTCTATGATGCATGCGGCTGCCCCCCATTTTCTGTGGCCGTTTGCTGTCAGGTACGCGGCGCATCAGATCAACCTCCACCCCAGGGTCTCCAGGCCGGAGACCTCCCCAGCCCTGCTGTGGACGGGGAAGGTTGGCGATGCGTCGGCGTTCCGGGTCTGGGGATCTCGGGCGTTTGTCCGCGACTTGTCTGCGGACAAGCTGTCCCCTCGCGCTGCTCCCTCCGTTTTCCTGGGGTTCCCCCCCGACGCCCCTGGGTGGCATTTCTACCACCCCACCTCTTGCCGTGTTCTGTCCTCCCAGGACGTCACGTTCGACGAGTCGGTACCCTACTACCGCCTCTTCCCCTACCGCACTCCGTCTCTCCCCCCACCCCCGCTCTTCTTGGTACCAGGTCCCCCCCCGGTAGACCCCCTCCCCCCTCAGGGTCCTGCCCCTTCAGGTGTGTCCCAGGTAGACGCGGTCGAGCCTGTCGAGGTCGCTGGTGACTCTGGTGCTGCT